TCGTATACACCGGTGCTAAAGATAGAGACACCAGCAGATCTGTTGTGCCACGGCACAACTATAGAACAGGTATTCTATTCTTTCTTCCCACTCCTTATTTCTACAACTTTTATTATATTTATATATGGAAACTTCCAGCCTAAGAGCGTATTAGCCAAACAGCCAGTGACCAGTTATACAAGCAATGACCTGATAACCTGATATTTGTCATCTCTTATTAAAACTTCTTGATATTTTCTTATCAATTTTAGATCACATTAAACGTCAGACAGCTGTCTTCATTTGACCAGGATGTTTTTCAATAATAATTTAAAACTTGTAATAAGTATTTCGATAAGATTTTAGTACTCATCTGATTGGTTTATCGGCTCTACAATTTCGATTCAATTTGCGTTTTTCATACAAATTAGAAATTTGTTGGACTATTGACAGGACGAGTTATTTTAGTAATCCCAATTATTATTATTTTAATTTGTATATATTAATAAATTAATCACATAAGCTTCAATCACCATAAATCGGTGGTTCCTAACTAGTGACACGCAAGATGGTTAAAAATGATCCGTGTATCAAATTCAACAGGTATGGATACATAGCGTACAGTTTGTCCCCTGAGACCCTACTTATTAGAAAATAAGCACAAAAAATTTCGAAGTAATTATATATCTATTTTATAGCCAATATAAAGTATATAATCTTACAGAGATGTTTTAAAGCATATTAAAATAATCATACAGCTTATTATTCTTACATTTTGTTGTCCCTACTAAAAACAAAAATGTCATAGTGATTCTTAGTCAAGAAAAGTTGGGAATCACTACTATAAATAAATAATCAAAGACAATAATGCCCGAAACACACATATATTAACTGAATCATAATTAAGACTTTTTTCACACAATGTTCAAAGGCTAATTAATATGTCTATTAGTCATAAAAAGTTTTTAGTAACTTCTGTAAGTAACATACATAATTAAATTGTTTTCTTTTTACTAATTTTTTTGTTTTTTAATATTAAAATTGTGATTAACTTCACCTTTTTTAATTTTTAGTAGAATTTATGGTTTTTTAATTTAATTTTTTACTATTTTTAAACAAAATAAGCAAATATTGATTTTTATGCTTTTAAATTGAAAATTCGTTACAGTGTTACCAAACTTTAATTATAATATATTTTACTTTTTTAGCTATATTAGTTCAGTTTTTTAATTTGTTTTCTCAGCTTATATATAAAGCGCATAATATTGTATATTGCATTGGTTTACGGATAAGTGCTATGCTATCCTATCTTTTACAACGCTAGATTATTTTGTTTCAGTCAGATTATAAATACATTGAGTAGAGTTAATTAAAACCAAGTATACGTGCAAAAATAAATTTAAGTTCATCAATTCAAAATACAAGTACTCTTCTCCATATATCGTAATACAAAAAAAAAAACAAACCAACTCGCTAACAAATTTAAAATATTTTTTTTAAAAAAGTTTGTTGTTTAAGTCTTTTGTTTTATATTTTTTATGACTGATTTTTATGAATGGTATTGATTACAAAATTGAGTAAAATCTTTCATTTAAATTAACGATAGAAATTTTTACAACACTTTAAAAACATATATGAGTGTGTCATAAGGTATAATTAATGTAGAAAAGAAAGTAATACAAAGCCCTTCTATTTAAGTTAGCATTTAACATGAGTAAGAAACTTAGTTTTATAACTGATATTTAAGGTAATGCTGATTATGTTTATTATCTGTAAACATATCTTATGTTTTAGCAATAAAATTTTCTTGTAAATATATTATCACAAAACCATTCAAAAGTACAAAATTCATATAAGCGGTCTGTGTTAAAAAAACAAGACTGTCATATCTTTTATAGATCATAATGTGTAAAAGCTTGGAATTTTTTTTCGTTGTTATTAAATAAAAAAATTTAAATTTGATTAAATTTGATGCATATTATATTTAGTGGAATTTTTATGATTATTAGTTATATGTTATGTTAGTATTATTAGACATTTTTATATAAATTCCTTCCTTCCTCGATCAAAAAGAGAATTGCAGATAAAAGTTTAGAAGCCACAGCTTTAGCTTTTAAAGAATATATAAAAGTTTGGTTTAAAAACTATATCTGTGAATGGAACCCTGTATAATTCATTGTTTATAAACAAATTATGAAATATGTACAATATTCAAATGAACTAACAAATTTAAAATATTTTTTTCAAAAAAGTTTGTTGCTTAAGTCTTTTGTTTTATATTTTTTATGACTGATTTTTATGAATGAGACTGATTACAAAATTGAGTAAAAGTAAAAGTAAGATTGGGTGGCATTGAAAAAAATAGATTTGTTAACTTTAAGAAATTGAAACCATTTCTGTATTATATTATTCTTTCTTGAAATATAATATATTGAATAAATTCTAATTTTAATAATAATTTTAATGATGTTAAATATTATTTTTAATAAAATAAAATGATAAATGATGTTGTAATTTATAAAATAGTCTCAACTTTTAATATTTGACAGATTAATTCAATTCTTTAAGACATGAGAAGTTTTAATTTTAATGTATATATGTTTATATTAAAGCCAATCGCTTCAAATTTGGTTATTTGTTAAAACGCTTTTCAGATAATGATTAACTTTCTTCTAATTATTTGAAGAGACTGTTTTTATTACATTTTTGTTATCTTGCGTTATTTCTAATATATAGACAGTCAAACTTCCAAAGAATAGGTTCGATTTATGGAGACTTCGAGTTAGAGAATTTATTTATTTATTTTTATTTTCACATTTTAAGATA